TATTGTAGAAGGTAATATTAAAATATTATATCTTGCCTGAAGGAATGGTGCATTAAAGGAAAAGACAAGTAGTGATGTTTTTATCAAGAGGAGAAATAAATTTTTAAAACACAAAGAATACTATACTCTTTTTCCTTCACTAGGATTTTTTTTCCATACATATTCTTTATGTAACGGACATCCACGGAGAAGTGTTATACATAATATATTATATAATAGATGTCCATTATGTTTATTAAAGAAATTATTTATCTTCTCCATAAGTCATGTCCTTCAGAATAAAGGTTTATGTCCTTTAGGATGAATAGTTATATCCTTTAATGTGTAAGGTTATGTCATTTAGGATAAAAGGTTATATCCTTTCGTGTACAAGGTTATGTCTTTTAGATTGTATTTTGTATTCTATAAATAATTCTTTAATCCTATGGATTGATAACTAAAATTCTAATACAAGAATTCAATTTCTCTCTATTCTCTCTATATTATATCTATTATATGTCTATATATATTCTCTATTTATTATATTATGTCTATATATATTCTCTATTTATTATATTTTATAACAAAAATATTTCATTTAAATTTTATTATATATGCATTGGACTGGAGGAATATAGTTTGCACAGAAAGATATTCACATGATATTTAATTTATATTATAAGAAGAAACACCATCTAATGATTAGTCAACCATTGATCTTTAACAAACTAAATCGCGCATAAAATTATAATATAACTTCAAGTGGTGATTGAGATTTCTAATCCGTGATAGATATCAGGTTTGAGTCTTTTTAATTGAATATCAAATAATTGGGATATAGTATTAATATATGAATATGAAACAAAATATGTTTATTTCTCTTGAAAGTATTATAGTATCAATAATCATGTGCTAAGTATTTGACTAGTTCAATGGTCTTAAATTTATGAGTATCCATACTTTCAAGGCATCATATAAGCATCTCTATGCTATATATAACCAAGTTTGTTAGATGATTTGTACCAATTTGTTGCATTATTGAAGCTCAAAGTTACATTGATACACATCAATTGGATAAAGGCAAGGTTTCTTAAGCTTTATATATGTGTAATTTGTAAATCATAACTTCCAAATTTTTTATATCCCGTTTTGCAGCTTTTTTTTATCTCTCCCAAATCCTTCATTTCTATTTGTAATCTCTAATTTTGTTAATCTACGTTGTTTTTCCCTTTTTTGACAAACTAGGAAACTTGCATTAATTAGAGCAACTTAAGCTGTGATTATGGCGATTAATACATTTAAATTTTAATAGTCATTCTTGATTCACTATATTTTTATTGTTAATTTATGATATTGGTTCATATTTTTTGCTCGCGATTGATTTGTTATTTTGCAATTTTTTTATATTCATATGATTTTTGTTAATTCTTCTATGTGGGTCAATATTCTTAATCATTGTAAATGATCAATTTGTATTTTTCTTATGCAGGAAAGACACCTTTGAAGTCTTAGTAAATTCTTGTGCCATTCAATTTAACTTCTATGTAAGCTTATCTACTCTTATAGTTAAGATTATTCATTTAATAGCATTGTGCTTTGTTTTGTGTGATTAATGAAAATTACTTACCTACATTCGGTATATGGGACTCCCTATATGTCAAACAAATTAAAAATTGTTATTGCAAAAAATGTTTATCATTTAGGACTCTTTTTTGTCCTTTTTTTTTTTTTGAGTAAATAGTCAGCAATACCCTCGTTTGTTCTATATGTCTGCATTAGATTAACCCACCCATATAATAGGTGTAGGTAAAACATTATTAATATATCAACATCAATCATAGTTGGGGATGGGTTCCATAGCCCTTCCTAAATAAGGCATCACGTATAATATTAAAAATTATTTGCTTTGACTATTATAAGTTGGACCTTATATAAGAATAAATATGTTTGTTATTACAATTAATAACTATATAAAGTCAAACATATCAATAATAATTATATTATCTCAATAAAATTTCAAATTAGCAACTTATAGTTTCATTCTTATATAAAAGGTCGAGTTCATAGCACTTTCATCCAAATTGTTATATATATAAAACTTCTTTTTGTTTTGAATTCTAAAATTTCCTTATTTGTTTATTTATATCTATATATTTTAATTAAATTTAGGGCGGATGAAGAATTTGTTGATCAAAAGAAACATCTGAGGACTTCTGCAAGCGTAAATGTGTGAAGCCTTTAATTGAATATGAGGTAAAATACTTTTGTATTAAAAGGTCTAATATAAAAGGAAAATACTTTTAATTGGGACTTTATTATTTTTCTTCATTGTTACTAAAAGGAAAATGCTTTTCAACTTAATACAGGTATGTATAAAGAGAATAGAAGGAGAAGAACTTGGGCTAAAGCACTGTACTGGGCAATACTTTGATTATTTGTATTGTGTTGATAAATGTGTAAGTGTTGGTTATTGTTTGAGAAATTTTAGAGTTTTGACACATGACATCATCTAATTTGGCATTTGACAATGCATGTTGCACCAAAGCTATTTTCAAAACTAAAGTAACTGAAAGGCCTTCTCAAAGACCACTTTCTTTATGTTCATATATTTTACAAGTGAGCTGACTGACAATAATTTTCCCCAAGTTTATGAAATCGCGACAAGTAATAAAAAACAAGTAGAGTATCATTTCCACGAGAATTATATATCAAATACCAAAATTATGTTAACCTACTATTATTTAAACGGCAATCAAGGGAATTATTTTAAGAAATTAACTTCAACAAATAAAAGAGAATCAACAATAAAAGAGAATAAAAAGAAAATAAAAAGAAATTAAGCAAGGCAATTTTTTTGATAATAAGAAATCAAGGATTAAAAGCTACTAGGGATTTTGACTTCACTTAATTCTATCCAATTTATTTTATTCGTTTGATAATCAATTTTAATTGTTCAAGTAGGACAAACAACCCTAAAATCACTAATAAGCTCTCCCAATATATTGTTAGCTATTTTAACCCGATCTAATTATCTATCTTCCAATAGTGCAATCAAACATGAATTAAATCACTAAGTTTTACGATTTTTTTGTTAAATCACTGTAGCACGGGTACTGTAGCACACTTGTTTCTCCATCAATACCATAACCTTTTCCACCACGCCATCACACTAGCGTGCTGGACCGCACGGCTAGCGCGTGCTAGGCTTTGAGTTACCAGGATGGATGTAGCACGGGCTGTGCTTAGGTGAACATGCCTTTGAATCGATATCATTATATGGCACGGGCGTGCCATATAGCACTGCTAGGGCGTGCTAGGCTCTGAGTCTCCAAGCTGATTTTTCCTTGATTCTTGCATGGGCATGTTGAGCCGCATGGCCAGGGTGTGCCAGCCTCTAAGAGTTTTGCTTACTTTGCTCTTTTCTCTTTCTTATGAAAAATCCTACCAAAATTTCTTCAGATTAAGGAATTGGTTCAAGAAAGAATGAAACAAAAACATAAACTAAAACTGAATAAAAAACTACAAACGTTGATTAACTTTTGCTAAATAATCCTAACAAAAACTATATTAAAAAATATTATAAATATACAGCTATCAAAAATTACCAACTATATTAAAAATATTATAAATATAACAGCTATCAAAATTCTCCAAACCTAAACTATTGCTTGTCCTCAAGCAACAAAACTAAAAATAAAAGAAAAATAAAAGCTAAAACAAACTAACAAAGCTAATTTAATATGGTTGGGGATAATTATTTAAAACTTAAAAAGTATCAAAAATTATTATCATGAGAATGAATCAAGCGTTTCCTATGCTACTTATATTCTTAGCAAAAATTCAATTATCAACAGAACACATTCTTTAATTTAATCATGAGTTAATAAGATTTTCAACACCAATTTATTGAACATATGACAAATAGAATATGAATTTTCACAAAAATTATTTAACCTCTAAATAAGATGTTTTAACAATATAAGTCCAACATTTCCAAAGGCAAAATTAGTAATCCCTTCTTCACATTGAAATGCACATAATCAAAAAGATCAAAAGGTCTTTATTTAGGTTATAATGAGGTCCTTAGAGGTATAATTTTAGCTAAACAAAGAAAAAGGATAAAAGGATAGGATAGACAAAAAGTGCAAACAATGCAAAATATCAAGATTTTCATCACATCAAAACAAATTTTTATTTGTAAAGGGAGATTATCTTGAAGTTCTTCACTAGCTTAGAATTATAGACACTTTAGCAAGGTTTCTTCATAATTTATTGATAATTTTCCCTTACTTCAATTCCCCAAACTTGAATTTTTGATTGATTGTTTCTTTTATGAGGTATTTCTCTTTGAGTTTTTCTACTTGCTTCGCTTGCTAGTATTAATGGAATTTTCTCTCTTTTGTTTCTATGTTTTAATACGAATCAAATCCTTTAATTACACATTATTGCACTCAGGGTAAGAATTTAAATTGGTTTAATGGCTAGGTTTAATAAGGGTGAACAAGAAAATTTTTGGTTTATAGGCTTCAAATTGGTTGCAAAAGTTTAATAAGGGTGAACAAGAAAATTTTTGGTTTATAGGCTTCAAATTGGTTGCAAAAGTCATAATTTAACTTAAGTGGCCTAGGCTAAATATGGAGTACAACAAAGAATGCCTAAATCATCTCTTTCTAAATATAAGCACTTGAAATTTTGCCTCAAAGGGAATTCTAATTTGTTCTAGGAATGCCAATGAAATAACCCAAATTTTTATTTTTAAAGATTTTTCATTTAAATTTAATAAATTGACACCCTGGAAAATATATTTAATTATTTAATTTCAAATTAATAATTCGTATAGTGTTTAACCGATCCGAAAACCGGCTGGAAATTCGAAAACCAATTGAAAACCATGATTTGGACCGAACCAAACCTGAATCAAACCAAACCAGCTCAATCCACCCGAACCACTTCTAGAAGTCTCTTCCCTCTATATCTAGCGCATGCCTCACTCTCCCCTTCCCCATTCCTGCGCTTTCCGATCACCGGCGACACCACCAGCACACTGTCACCGCCATCTCCTCCTCCTTCTTCTTCTTTCTTTCTTTCTTTCTTTCTTTCTTCATCCACATTTGCATTTCCTGGCGAGAGGCAGAGTCGCAGCAGAGTTGCGCCACCCACGCCATCGAGCGCCACTGCCGCTCCTCGCTGTAGCTCGACGTCGCCAAAGCTTGCCATTCCGTCTCTCTCTCCGTTCGAACCAAGCAGAGGCAGTAGCTTAGAGAGGACTGCATTTCGACCCACCTACTCCACCAGATCACACCACCTCCTTGATCTGTCGCGCCACAGCTCCGCCGTTGCTCCAGCACGTCTCTGGCCACCAGGAATAGGCTCAGCGAGCCTCTGTCGCACTGCCAGCAGTCTTCTTCCTCCATTAGTTCAGTCACGCTTGCCTGTGGTCACAATTTCAGTTGTCGCTCTCCACGATTTTCTCCGTCGACACCACCGCTTGAGATCGCGTTTCATCTGCTTGTAGTTCCGGTGAGCGCAGCAACCTGTTTTGGTCGACTCAGCGCCATTGCTCTCACCTGCTCTTCGTTCCGGCACGCGTAGTCTCTATTTTCGGTCGAACAAATTTCAGCAGCAATATATTGGGTATATAAATTTAATTTTTGGACTATTTTTAGAATGTTCTTAGTTTTGTGATTAGCTAATTTACTTTGCATTGATTACTTTCTAGCATATATATTTCATTAGTGTTGATTTAATTAAGGAACATTGATAATGATATATTAATATAATTAAAGTGTGGATTAAGGTAGTTTAGATATAATGTTAGTGTAAATTATAATGTTGGTTGTGTGGTGATGTTGAGATTGGAGGATGGGAAATTTTATTTGATTAATTGCCCGACGGATGGGCCGTGTGGATTTAGTTGAATATTCGATAAACTGTTGATATTTTAACAGGTGGATAGTTCGATTTTTAGGGGAGGTGCTGCCGAAATTTCGGCAGAAATTAAATTATTTATAGAAATCAAATATGTAGATAATTTATTAGAGCGATTCTTGTATTTCCTATTTGTCTGATGTAGTCATTTTCCATGTGCTATTCTTAAATTCCTTAGATCGCTCGGACCCGTCTAGTGCTCCTCCTGGGCAGAATCAAAGCTAGAGCTTCGTTCTCCACCACTGTGAGTAATAATAAATAATGCATATCAACACTGCATTTGCATAACATTTATTTATAAACATTAATGCATAATCACACTAAGGGCATTTTGCATAACATTTATTTATAAACATATATATTTATATATTAACCGTATATTATTTGCGTAAATTTCATCTTATAAATATATTATGTCACTATTACTGTATAATTATAATTTTATGGTTGCACATTTGGATGGATTTGGTGTAATACATTGAATGAATTGTTTGATTACTTGTGCTGTGACTATACTGTGATTTGTTTGTGTGGAATTGGAATGAAGTGGGTCACCATGGGTTTGTGAGACTATTACCATTATATGGATCCTAATTATGATTACCGTTAGCCGGGTAAATGGGAGATCGACACCCCCGTGTGCACCTACCGTTATGATCTGTATGATATGGAAAACCACAGGTTGGTCTCTTTATTGGGCGCACGTGATAATCTAGATTTGATCGTAGCCCGCAGGGTGGCCTCTTGTTGTGAGCGCCTGATGATCTAGATTGGATGGAGACCACCGGGTTGCCTCCTGTTGGTACGGAAAGAAAAGAGAGAATGGAAAAACAATGAGAGGGCTGGTCAAGTGAGGATTAGACCGGTTGGCCAGTATGGGGGATCGGCTCCCTGGTGCACACGGATGGCCATTATGGAGGACGGGGCTCATCGGGGTTTCGTGACGCCACTGACTAATTTCCACGTGATGGAGTTATTTAAGCATGATATTAATTGTGGGTGCTGATGTTATGCCATAGGATTGACTGTTGTGTGTTGCATTCAGTATATTAGGGCGCATTTTGCGTAGACTGTATTGGGTTGTATTATTTATTATTATTCATGAGTTTGAAAAACCTCACCCCCTTCTCTCGCAAAACTTCTCAGGTAGTAGGAATCAGGTAGTAGGAAGCTGCTGATTCAACTGAAGCTCTGTCATTTTCCTCGCAGAGCTACAAAAAGTAAATTTATAACTTTTGTTATTATGAGTTAAAATTGTGTTATTAAATATATACACTACTCTATTTCCAAATTATTATTGAACTCTGCAGATATAGGGTTGTGTATTTTCAATTGGGCTTTTCCATATGCGTTGTTTTATAAATGATTTGTTGTATAATTAGACGCAGGTGAATCAGTAGGCCCATATTATGAATGTGATTTATCATGATTAGGCCCAAGCTACACCTATTTGAGATAATGAAAATTGGGGCCGGATTGTATAACACTTATCTATATTTATATCCTAACTGGTATGGGCTTACTGTTCCTATTAAATGTCGTGGCATGTATAAGTTGAGTAGTTTAGGCTTACTACGGGCCTCGGGGGCCTTAAGCTTACCTGGGCCCTAGTGCCGGTCCGGCCCACGGAGACGGGTCGTGACACTGAACAGCCCAAGGTTAACAATAAATTTTGTTTAAAACATTCCTATATATCATAAAAATCGCAAAAAAAAAAAAATCTGTTCTTGATCTTTAAAACCAAATTAGTTACAACCCAAACAATCAGATGTTAACGTCAAAAAAAAAAAAAAAAAAAAAAAGCTCAAAAGCAATAAGCTACAAAAACAACTAATTTCATCACAAGTTAATAGATTATATAATTTCCAAGCTATTATGATAATTTCCAAGCTTGCTCATAATTATTCCAACCATATTAAGCTAATGAAATAAATAAAACTAAAATTTCCTTTCCCCCAACTTAATCTAACACATTGTCCCTAATGTGCTTAAAATCAATTTCCCAAACTTATCATATTATCAATAACGTGCCAAAAGAATATGAGAGCTCAGAAACATTACCATCACTGTATTGAAGAATACAATAAAATTTGAAGGAAAAGATACGATAAGAGTTGAGTGCTGGAAATTATCAAAGCTATGAAAAAAAACACTAAACACAAGGAAACATAATATCCAAAATACTTAGTACAATTGAATCACTATTTGGAGTTGGCTAGCAATTCCCTGATATTGGCTTTGCATGGTGTCTATTCAAGAGTTGAGGCTCCCATGCATAATTTCTATGGACAGGAACCGGTCAGATATCATAGTCTCCATTCCATTAAGGCGAGCATCAAATATGTCCATTCTAGACATCATATGTGTGAGAACTTCATCGTTAGACAAATCAGACGCTCCCTGAAAGGAAGGGCCAGCTCCAGAGGTACCTGCACAAAAAAAAAAGTACCAAAACTGGGGAAGGATTGCAGATTATCTTCCTCCAGATTAGTATCTCCAGCCTCTTTAGCTTCCTCATCATCAGAACTCTCTTCTCGGGATCTCACAATACGGTATGAATCCCCCTACCTTCTCTGCTAATTTCATATGCACCATGACATCTAAGTCAAGTCTAGTACCCTTTCCATCTCCCATAATGTCATAAACTGGTCGAGCAGGATGCAATATAGGTCACAAAACACCCCATCATAATAGCACCCTTGTCTGCCCTTGCTATTCTCGCCCATCGTTAGCATAATCAATAGCCAACATTAATAAATATCCCCTGATCTATTGCCTAGATAAAGTGTAATTCATTTAGACTCAACACTCCATCACTCTAACTACGCCCAAAAATTATGTTGGCCAAAAATTTGTGAATATACCGATAGGCTGGGTTTCTCAATTTAGAAGCTTTTGACAATCTAGGATTATAGTTATTCTCCCCAGTCAGTGTTGTCCATGTGCTTCGATCTCTAAAATCTTTAGGTATTTGGTTAAGGGCATTTTCAAGTGGGGAATCCAAAGATATGACTAATTTCGTTTATTGAAAGCTCATAATTTCTCCCAAAAAGCCTAAACCTAATTTTACTAGGGAAATTATCATGCAACAGACGAATAAGAGCAGAATATGCACTTAAGAATTCTAAGGTCATTGGTGCATAAATAAAGTCTTTCATTGCAATAAATTGTTACCACCCAATGCGCTTAACAGGTTCTAACACAACATCTCTAAGCCCTACTTTTGCTGGAGCAGATTCATCAATAAAATGATTAGGTAAAATAAGATGAAGAGAGAGTTCATTGTACCTTGCCTATTGTTCTGGCGAGCCGAACTCAAACGGAGGAGGAGTAAGAGCCGTAACAGGAGGAACTGTGGGAGGAGGAACCGTTGGCCGGATTCTAGCAGCCACTGAAGCGGCTGATCTGCTTCGTTTGTATCTTGGAGGCATGATGAAAGAAAGAGAAGAGAAAAGAAAAGGGTTGCTAAGCTTTCGATAAAGAGAAAAAGAGAGATATGAAGGAGAGGAAGAAGGGCGTGCTTTGAGAAGAAGAGAGAAAATGGATGTGAGGGGTTAGGCGTGCACTTTAAATAGGGAGGCAATGACGAGTTGCACGGTAACTAAAAGGGCGTGTTGTTTTTAAGAACGTAGATCTGAAATGTGGCACGAGCGTGCTACGTAGCATGGCTAGGGTGTGTTGACTTTTGAATCTTTGAGGCGGTGGCTAGCATGGGCGTGCTATGGTGAGCACGGTCAGAGATCGACATCTCCTTGAAGCATGGGCCTGCTACCTGGCACGACTTGTCCGTACTAGAGCCTGTGACCTGTGAGAAAAAATTGTCTTACCTGGCACGAGCATGCTGATGAGCACGGCTAGGGTGTGCTAGAGTCTGACCTGCGAGGAAAAAATTGTCTTACCTAGCACGGGCATGCTGATGAGCATGGCTAGGGCTGCTAGAGTCTAAACCTAGAGGACCAATTTTGCACCTTTTGACAACACCGAAGTGCTAGCTAGCACGATTTGGGCATGCTAGAGCCTGTGCCTCAACTTTTACCTAAAAGAACTTAACTAAAAATAGAAGAACAAGCATGATTAAAATTTTTGGGAGAATGATAAAAAGAAATAACAAAAATAAAGCAAAATAAGAGAGATGGGGAAAAGAGTATGGGTTGTCTCCCACAAGTGCTTTTGTTTAACATAGTTAAACTCGACGTACTAGACCCAATTTAGGCAAGATTAAGCAAGACTTATAGTGGTTTTGAGTGGATCAAAGTCTCCATTTTGGTAAACTTTCACTCGTTGAGCATTGACTTTGAAACTCCGGTTTTTCAACTGCTCCATATGGAAAAATTTCTTTGATCGTGAATGGTCCCGACCACCTAGAGCACAATTTTCCTAGAAAAAGGCAAAGTCTAAAGTATAGAGCAATACCTATTGGCCTAGCTTCAAATTTCTCAAAATAATGTGCTTATCATTCCACTGTTTGGTATGGTCTTTATAGATCTTGGCGTTCTCATAAGCATGAAGTCTCATTTCATCCATCATATTCAATTAAAGTAACCTTTTTTTACCAACCTCTTTGGTATCAAAGTTAAGGAACTGGATTGCCCAATATGCCTTATGCTCTAACTCAACAAGAAGATCACATGCCTTACCATAAACCATTTGATACGGAGACATTCCAATTGGTGTTTTAAATGCTGTTCTATAGGCCTAAAGTGCATCATCAAGTTTCTTGGACTAGTCCTTCCTTGATTGGCCAACTGTGGTCTCCAATATTTTCTTGATCTCTCTATTAGTTACCTCCACTCGTCCACTTGTTTGAGGGTGATATGGGTACCTACACGATGAGTAACACCATATTTTGAAAGAAGAGAATCTAAGTAATTATTGCAAAAATGCTTACCTCCGTCTGTGATTATTGCTCTTGGAGTACCATGACGTGTGAAAATGTATTTCTTAATGAAGCTCATCACACTCTTAGCATCATTGCTTGGAAGGCAACAACTTCTGCCCACTTTGAGACATAATCCATCGTTACTAGAATGTATTGGTTGGAATAAGAAGATGGAAACGGTCATATGAAATCCGAGCCCCAAACATCAAAGATCTCCACTTCAAGGATATTGTTTAATGCACTTCAAGATATTTAATGCATCTATGTCTTTTGGGGTTTGGAGAATTTCTAACCTTTGACAATGATCACAAATACGGACAAAGTTAAAAGCTTCTTTAAATAAGTTAGGACAATACAAACCCCTTTCTAAAATACGTGCTGTCGTCTTGCTTGCTCCAAAATGTCCTCCACATTCCATTGAGTGACAAAAATGAAGAACACTTTCCATCTCTTCTTCCGGCACACATCGTCTGAAGAGTTGGTCAGTATAATCCTGGAGCAAGAAAGGCTCCTCCCAATAGTAATATTTAAGATCATGAAAGAATTTTTTCTTTTATTGATAAGAAAGATTAGGAGGAGTAATCTTGCAAGCAAAAGCAAGGTAGTGAACCTATATCAGCCATACCCACGGACGCTGTATATTTACTAGAAGAATGGAAGATGTCCATGGGAAAAAAGTCTTCATTAATTTGCAACTCTGCTTGCCCTTCTTCCCGCAACTCAAGCCTTGACAAGTGATCAGCTATAAGGTTCTCGGTTCCCTTTTTATTACGAATCTCCAAATCAAATTCCTGTAAGAGAAGAACCCAACAAATTAGTCTAGGCTTTGCATCTTTTTTTTCTAACAAATATTTAATAGTTGAGTGGTCAGTATAGACGATTTTTTTAGCTCTAATTAAATATGCTCTAAGTTTATCAAAAGCAAAAACAATAGCAAGAAGTTCTTTTTCAGTGGTTGCATAATTTAATTGTGCATCATTCAATGTACGAATAGCATAATAAATGACATGCAACTTCTTTTCTTTTCTTTTCTTTGCCCAAGAACAGCTCCTATAACATGATCACTAGCATCATACATGAGTTCAAAAGGTAGGCTGAGTTTTCAAAAGGTAGGCTTCCAATCTGGGATTATAGCTTATGCAATGATAGGAGCTTTGAAATTAATTCTTTCTTCAACCTGTTTAAAAAGGCATTTCAAAACCACTCTTAGTTAAAATCAAAGGAACATCCTTAAACTAATAAATACAAAGAAAACCCCTTACTCCTTTAAAAATGAAATTTGGAGTTTTGGTGGCTTTTCAATTACCTCTGGTCTTGGCTTTGTCCACTTCATTCCCTTTTTTTCCGAGATTTTTATGCCTAAAACAATACCTTCACTAACCATTAAAATGACATTTTTCCGCAATTCAAAAATAAGGTTATTATCTTCGCTCGCTGGGCATCACTAGAGAGAGGTTATAGAGACAAGAATCAAAAGAAGAAACCAAACACAGAAAAATCATTCCATAAATATTTCAATATAAAGTTCTCAACATGTTAGAAAAATATGGACATTCATGCACCCTTTGGAAAAAGTCGCAAGGAAGCCATTGCACAACCCAAAGGCCACTCTTCTATAAGCAAAGTACCATAAGGCGGCAAGTGAAAGTG